ATTTTATAGACTAAAGGTTTTTGTGAAAAATCCTGAACTTTGCTCTTAATTATAAGAAAAAAAATAAAAAAAATCAGTCATCTTTTGAATCACAGGTACAACTACCGTGAGTAGCATCAATTTAATTTTTTGCAACAAGACGAAGGTTAGCATATTATTATTGCATATGCAGAAGCTCTAATCAGCGGAATATAAACCTTCACCACATGATCATGCCGAAATGTAATTTGCTAGTAATTATTTTTTTCAAGGATACACGAAGGCATTTAGTGTTTACAACATGTAGTACACCGATTCTAACCGTAAGACAAGAACGTAGAAGTCAATTTGAAATAGAAAAGGAACTATGAAAAATGTAGAGGGATGACACAAGATAAAATGTCTAGATTAATCAGTCTCTAACAAATAAAAAAATAAATATTTAAAACAGAGATGGTAAGAATCGTCATATAATATTATCTTGGCTTTACATATACTTCATACCTTTCACTTTCGAAAAGTGCTCGATAGCATCATCAACTACATTATCAAAATTTGGAATATATCCATGCAAACCTTCAGACAGACCAAATCCTGGGAAGTCTATCGCAAAAACTCCATAACCAGAAGTCGCTAGTTTTCTGGCAATGCCTACAGCAACAAGCATAATTCAGTAAGTATTACTCTTTCAAAAAGTTCACAAACAACCTCTTTATAGTACATGCATTATCCACATGCCTTCAAGGAAAAAGGTGCAGGTGTCTCCATAACCGTGACAAAGACAAATGATTCCTTTCAAAGAACTGCTTTCCGGAAGCCAACTTTTCGTGAAAATCTCCAAACCCCTAGAATTTACTTCATAAGACTGTTGAACAGATCTAATGTAAGTATACAAATGTATGAATATCTAGTGCAGTTATACATTACAATGTACTAAAAGTGAATCAAGACATAATTGTTAGAACATCACAGAAAGAAATGTTTAACATGAGCTAAAATCCAAGGTTTCTTGATGTGTCCATGATCTGAATATCAGAGCATAAAGGCTAGGAAAGGGTATGAGAGACACTCTAGTAATTTAACGAATTTGTTAGGTAAAAGAAAAAATTTGAGTCCGGATAATGAAGTGCTGAAGATAAAAAAAGTGCTGAAGAAAAAAATGGAGATTAGGTTGTATTGAGTTCAACCTTAGGATTTATCTCAGAATTTATGGAAAAAATGATTTACCTCTGTCATCTTCAATCCTTCATGTGGCATCTGCAAAATTATTTCATTTAAACATAAGTAATTGCTAATGCTTCATTTTCAATATTCTTAAAATGCAGAATATCTTTTCTTTTTTTTTTCCGTCATAGAATGACTGCACATTTACTGTCACCAGAGAAAAAAGGAAAAGGGAAGGAATTAATCTTGAAAATTTTCAACCACAAAAATGCAAGATTGGTCAAGTAACAAGCATAACAACATGAAGCTGATTTAAGATTGAGATCACCCATCGTAATTTATAAAGGCCGAGCCCATACTGAGTCCATACTTCATAGACTGAAATCTACTTTACTAGTATAGGAATATTAATATAACTATTTCGCTTCTGACATTTTATGATGATCCTACATATTAAGTAAATATTGGACTTGCACAGACAGTGGTATAAATAATTCACCTGCATGACTGTCCATTACGTGTTAAAAACCAATTAAATGGAATATTGCAAACTGTACAAATACGATTGATTGCAGCAAAAAGAAAAAAAAAAAGTATCATGGAATAATTTTCATCTCGATGTCGTTCAGTATATAATCATGTGTTAAACGAGTAATCTGTCATCTAGCTAATAAGTTCATCCATAAATAATATTTTCGTCAACTCTACCATTGATGAAAAGAATTATTTCCATCTATTTAACATGACACGTTTTATCCTGTACTACTAAGAACCAACCAAATACGATCTTCATTTATAACTCTTCTCTGATCCCTATATTCACTGAATTCTATCAGTGTTATTTCTATAGATATGTCTAAAGTCTGTTTGTTTTTCTCTCTTTCTTGTCAGAACAAAGAACATAATGGTTTCACAATATCACCCCACATTTTCTTTACACCCACTCCTGATTCTGGTCATCCAATGATCATACAGTTTTTAACAAAAAAACATACAAATTAATAGCCTTGATTCATCAGACTTTACACATCATAACATGGATTATACAAATAAAACCAAGACTTTGAGCTCCCATCGAAGATCAGAAACATAACATCAGCTAAATCCACCTGGACCATACAGCAAAAGGAATCTGTGGAAGGATTTCCAAAACAAATCATACATATATAGTGTGAGAGTAATTATGACAGACACAGTTTTCGGAATTTTGCATACAAATAATTTATGTCTAATGCCAAGAACTCCATTTTCCAAGGTTCAACCTTTAACACTACAAAAAGCTGTTAAACAGAAAGATTCAAAAAAATAGTTTTTAGAAAGCAATCAGCCACACAAATCCTGTCATCCTGTCATTAACAGAGATTTGAATTTTTTTTCCAAAGCATCTTGTTTTTAGCATCCAATTGCATACATCAATTGTGAATACCTTGAACAGAATATGATCAATAGACAGCTGAATGTCCTTGAAGGCCTCACGGGCTTCGCGCCTGGGCCCCACCTGTTCCATGTCAGCATCCAGAATCTTCTGCACCTCCTCGCTTACACCCTCGAACTTGACAGTATTTCCCATTACCTTAAAACAATTGGGATTCTTTGCACAAAGAATCTGGGTTTTTTCGTTACGCAATAATTCAAAAAAACGACCAACGCGCCCAAATAACTATGAATTGCCCACAAATTGTTATAAAATTGGAAACTTTATGAACTTAAAATCGAAGGAAAGGAGAAAAAAAAAAGGTTAGTAAAAAAACAAGATGAGGCTTTTGAGACAAGCTTGGGCTTTTAGTTTATACCATTAAAGTGTTTCTCTTAGAGAGAATTGAAGATTTCAACGCCATGCATATCTGGGACCTGAAATTATTAGCTACTATTTTATGTATTTGTGTTTTCGTTAGGAGAGGAAGATGCGATAATTTGTTGGACCTTAAGAGGGGATGATGGCGTAATGTGATTTGGTAAGGAAAAGGACTTTCACAGGAATATTTTTCAAGTTAATTTCGGTCATACACGTTCCATATATTATAAATAATTAGTGACATCTGGTGTGACGTGGAGTTTTGTACCTTAAAATATTTTTTAAAAATTTTATTTTAATAATATACTCATTAGCTCATTTATAATAATACAAATTAGTACGCGGATTCTGCGGCCTAGTGTTAAAAATAATGTGAATTAATTATAATTTAAATAAAAAAATTATTCACATAAACATGCATATAGTTAATAAAAGGTAGAATAATAAAGTTTTTATTATTATATATAAAAATGCTTCCATAAATATAATATTAGTAATAGATGAACAGTGTTCATTATCATGATCACCATTATTAATAATAATCATAAGACAATAGGAATTCGTAACTCTAGAACTAATAACATATGATTGTTTGTGACTGAAAAATACAATATATATTTTTTCATAAAAGTTTAAAAAATAAAATCATTAAGCTTGCAAAAACATTTGTGATATACGATGAAAAAAATTATTTATCACATTAATGTTGAACTAAAAAAACATCTTAAGGTTATTTTTAAAAATTAAATGTTAGACTCAACGATCATATTAAGTTAAATGTTGAAGTAAACGAACATATGAAGCAATTGAATATACCTAATATTCTAATATTAATTTTAAGATGATTTTGTACATATCATTTCAAGGTATACAGATAAAATATTGGTATGTATATTTTTTGAGATCACACACAAACTTAAAGTATTTCCTAATTTAAATTTCTCATTTATTTATCTATTTATTAATTGCCTTAAATTTTATAGATATCATTTACTTTATCAACTAGATCAAATTAATGTAAAAAAATATTGCTGAGATTTTATAATATAAATACTATATTTATATTAATCAAATGTTAATATATCTAAAAACACAGTGATGGTCTGGATCTGTTTTATAAATTTGTTAGATAATAAATTAATAAATATTGTACAGTTTTGAGAAAATCCTTCAAAAAACATATATTATTTTTCTTTACCTCAATTTTCATTAAAAATATTGTACACGGATTCTATTATGTAATATCATCAAAGGTTAAAAGATTGTATATCATATAAAAATATGTGAATGTTGAATATAAGGACATGATGCACATATATAGAATAAACAAATTAAAAGTTATCATGTAATATTTTTTTCAATTAAAAAAAATGGGCCTAAATTAAATATGTATATGGTGTACATTATATTTATTATTTCCTTTCAAAATAGATACTCACAGATGTGCTGCAAATTTTATTATTAGATTTTAAATTTGAAATTATTATCAGATTTTGAATTTATAATTAATTTTGAAATTTATTTATCAAATTTTAAAGGCGGTAAAATTAATTTTTTGTTTAGAATTCCTATATCTAGTAAATAAAAATTTTAGGCTGTATTTTTCTCACTATCTAAAGGTAAATTTTCAGTCCCTTTTTATATTAATGGATATAGATATAAATGCATTCATAGGTGCGTTTCTATATGTTTTAGTATTAAAAACATCAAAACATAATACTTTAATATAGTATATAAATAGTGTGATTCAATGAAGTACTTTAATTTATTAAGAAAATGTTCCATCTATTTTTAAGATATAAAGGTTTTACTAAATTTGTCCAAACACTAAGTATTTTAAATTTTAATATTTCAACCTTTAGATTTTATGAAATAAATAAATTAATAGGTTTATAAATTGGGGTAAGGCTACAATCCCGTTACGGAACCATTCCGTTGGGACTTGTAACCGTTAGATCAAGCATCATTGACGATTACTTGATGATCTAACGGTTACAATCCCAACGGAATGGTTCCGTAACGGGATTGTAGCATTTTCCTATAAATTGATGAACGTAAAACATAGTTTAAGAAGGCCAAGTTTTCCAAAATTTGATAAATAGATAAACACAATTATAGGATAAAAGGATTTTCAAATATTGAGAAGGTGAAAGCGAAAAAATAGAAAAAAAAATAATAAAAGAAAATGATAAAATGATATAAACATTACAAAATTATAAAAAAGAATTTACGAAGTATGGTAAAAATGAAGACTCACGAGTTACGTATTTGAAAATTTGTAATTAACGATATTGAAATCAAATTTCAAACACTATGTAAAAAATAATTTATTTTTTTTTTATAAAAAAAGGATATTCAATCAATTTAAAACATTATCCACAATTAAAAAAAGGAATCAATGTTCCCAAAATATCCGAATGGAATAAACAAAGTTATTTTAACTAATTTTTAGCTAACCCCTATGAAGAAAGAAATAAAATCTATATTTATTTTTATTTAAAAATTCAAAATTTAAATTATTTTTGAAAATTTTAAATTTAGTAAAAATTTGAAATGTTGAGTTGGGATTTTATCTACTATTTTAGATAAATTTGGCCTTATTATATAGTAATAGATAGATATCATTGTACAATAGAGAAACTCTAGGTAGAATGACATCTAACACATCAGCTGCGATGACAAATCAATCGAACAGTATGTTTACAAATAAATCTGCTCAAAATGAGTGTTTTTGGTTAACAAGAGTTAATTGAAAAAAAAAGTTTATGGTTAATTATTAGTGGGATTTTGAGTTTATATAAAAATAATATTTAAAATAAAATAATTAAAGTTGATTTGATATAAAAGTAGGAGATAAATGATACGAATAGGCATGTCAATAAAACCCGTAGGGTTGGGTTACCCGTATTTTTGGGTCGGGTAAACCCGGGATGATCGGGTTTTGAGTCAGGTTTGGGTTGAATTATGCTACCCCAACCCCGGGCCGTGTCGGGTGTGAGTATAGTAGAAAAACCCGTTACTCGACCCGATAACTCTATCTGATTGCCAACAAGCATTGAACCGTTACCCGACCCGATTACCCTACCCGTTGACCCGCAACCATTGAATTTTATATATGCATATATGTAAATATACATTTATAATTTATTATAAATATAAAAGTAATCATGTGTTATTAATATTAAAAAATTATATTATTTATTGTAATTTTAGTTAATTGTTAAATTTTATATTAATCTTAATGATTTTTTATAAATATTTGTTAATTGTACAATAAAAAATCTAAATACTTAATTTTTAAATGTTATATTATTTGCTAGACTATAAAAGATAAATAATTATATCTCATTATTCATTCTAAAAATAATATAATTTTTTTATATTTTTTATTGCCAAACTTAGTTAATAAATTATTTGTTACATTATAACTAATTATGAAATTATTTTATTTTAAAATATTTTGACATGAAGTGGGTTGGGTCGGGTTGGGACCGGGTAAAGTTTAAATTTAAGAACTCAGGTTACCCGTTTACCCAACGAAAACGCACTAACCTACCGGGTAAAAACCAACCCGAACCCGAAGATCAGCTGGGTAACGGGTCGGGTTTGGGTTGTGTAAATTATATGCGGGTCGGGCTCGAGTATGCCAAAACCCGCATCCGCCCCGACCTATTTACATCCCTAGATATGAAGTGATGGTTAGTTAAAGTTATGTGAGTTGATGAATAGTTAATTAAAGTTTATGAGATGTATAAAAATGATATATTGTTATTATTTAGTCATATTGATAATATTGAGTATAGTGGGATTGAATTAAAGTTGAGTTGAATTTTGAGTATGATTGAATATGAATTTAGTAATTTTGTTTACAAACACACCCTAAGATTTTGACTTTGGATGTTTTGTCCTTAAAAACTAGTACTTGATTAATTACTATTGCTTGATAAATCATAGCCACTGTTGCATAATTTGTAGATCCTGGGTTTATAACCTGAAAGTTAAAAGTAGTTGATGTATACTTGTTAGACTTTACAAATGTTTGTATGCAACAAGTTAACTGATTTTCCTGAGAAAGTATTTGCTCTTCTGAGGGTGTTCAAGCAACTAGGAAAATGATTTGAGCTCTAAAGACTGCTCGAAAACTAAAACATTTCATTTGGAAACGTGTTAGTAATATATTGCCTGTAAACCAACTGCTCCTCTTGCGGCTTAAGTATATTGACCCTATCTGCAAATCTTGTGGGGAAGAAGTGGAAACACTTGAACACTTCATGTTCCACTGCAACAAAGCCAAGAAAGTCTGGGAACTTGCAACTATTTATTGGACAAAGACTCCTCTTGCTTTAGACACTAGTGGATCAGACTTTGCAGCGTTAGACACACCCCATGCTTGGAACAAAGGCTTAATCTTACTGTGTCCGTGCTTTGGTGGCTGTGGGAAGCCAGAAATTTTGGAGAATTCGAAACTTCAAAAGTTTTGAAATGGTAGCTAGGAATTTGTAGATGTTCCAAAATTTCTGGCTTTCTGAGTACTCCATTATCCAAGCTACATCTTCTTCTTTGCTAGAATTCTCTTATGTTAGTATCTGGGTTACTAGTTTGTTTATCTATGTTTCTGTGTTGTAGTGGTAAAGTTGCTAGGTTCATGTATTCAGTGGCAACTTTATCTTTTGGTTTGTACTAGTTTCTTTCTTGTACAACTGCATAGGAGGAAGTGCCGATTGTTGTAGCTTCAGTCTATGCTGGTATCTAACTCTGTGTGCAGTTTGTTGTGTTTTCCTTTAGGTCACTGTTGTTAGTGCTCCTCTCTTTCTGTTAATTGGCAGCTTGTAATATTGCGTGTACAGTGTTCTTTGAGTTATACAGTCTATCGTTTTGATTAAAAAAAAAAAGTTAACTGATTTTGAGATTCCATGGCACAATATCATTAACTTTTATAAGTTGGTGGAAGTTAAATCTAAAATGCCTAATTAATATCTATTGACAAGATTGCGAATTTACTCAAACCAGGCCGGTCCTGGCATCAAGCTACATACGTCACAAATGTTTGTATAAGGTAGCCCAACGGTTAAATGAGTCAAATCGCCAAATTTTTCTTAAGAAAAATATACATACTCATATTCAAAATATCATACATTTTTTTTTTAAAACGATAGAAATTTTATATAAAGAAAAAACATACACATCATTACAATATCATACTTTTTTTCATATCATTTTTTAACATATATCGTTAATGTATGAAAATATGCATATTTATTAAAATAACTAGTACGTACCCCGTGCGATGCACGAGACAAAAATATTAATGAGTTATTTTCACACCCTGGTCCATTTAAGTCTAAAAAATAATAGGATTATTATCTATTTTTTACCTCTTTTAATCAACGTTAAGTCTAAAAAACAATAGGGTTATACGCTCGGACGTTTATTTTATAGCCATGGGATGAAAGTTGATAACTATTAGATGATAAGATTAGTTGGACTCACGTTAATCTCTCTTAATAAGATTCATTGCACGTGATTTTAATTTTAGAGTTCCAATAAATTCAAACTCTAATATGATGATAAGATTAGTGAAAAATGATTTATCAGATTAGTTGGACATGATTTTAGGTGGATGTTCAAAAAATTCAAATTGTGAATAATCTAATGTTAACTCTCGTGATTTATCCACCGTAGGACTCGCTATTTGTTATGTTTTTTAAATGAATGACATTAAATTCCAAACTGTGATATTAGTCTGGTGTAACAGATTATTGTTCCATAACAGATTATTCCACCGTGCGATTTTGCATAATGAGTTATCCATAGATTCTAAATCACGTTAATAATATGAGTTGTTTAAGTTTGTTTTGATAAAACACTATGGATAATTAACCATCTATTTTCTGCACATTCTGTAAATTTCAAACACAAATGATTATTGTTCAAATATTAAAATACAACAATTTTGAATTCAAATGGAATACATTTCGGTCAATAAAAACACAAATGGTTATATACAACAATTTTCATGTCAAATGAAATTCAAAGAGTGATTTTAGGTCAATAACAAACACAAATGATTATTCTTGCGTGCGATTTTCCCAAAACACAAATGATTATCAATTCTGAATTCAAATGGAATTCAAAGTGATTATCAATTCTGAATTCAAATGGAATTCAAAGAGTGATTTTCGCAATTTTCATTTCAAATGAAAAGATTTGAGAGAGAGAAAAATGCTTTAAATAATATGTAATGATATTTCATAGAGACTTATCTCTTTAAGGTTGTTTAAATAATATTTAATGGACCGAAATTTTTTGTATCACGTTGGTAATTATGTAATGATAATTATGGATTCAATTGTGATAGATATTCCATAGAGACATATCTCATCTCTTCTGACTTATCCACATATCCCAATAATATCTCTAATCAATTAATTTTTGAATTCATGTATGACTTTTTTTAAATTTTGTGTCTTATAAATGATTTAAATATGGTTTCTATATTTAGAATGTCAAAAGTAATTTTTTTTGGTCAAAAATTTCTAAAAAGGTATTTTAACAACAACCTTTTTATATATAGATAGATATTATTATGTGACGAACCAAACAGCAGCATCACCACTCATTTGTACATTCGTCCTCTTTGGAGGCCAGGCAATGAAATTTACCCAGATTACTGTATTGTTTCCAATTTTAAGGAAGAAAATAAACCTTAGAAACCTAAATTCAAATCTAGATCAACTTGAGCTATCTTTTAGTATATAAATATACGGACTGTTAATTGAATTTAATTGGATTGTAGGGATTGTCTTCAAAATTAGATATTCAAAGGAAGAAAATCTTCATAGTGACGGACAAAAATACGCCCCATAGTATTTGATATGAAACAAAACTCATGTACCATGTTAGACAAAATGCAATGACCTAGCAATCTGCAGAAAACATTGGATCTTATTGACACAGCAAAAATTCAATAACCTAGTCAAAGATATGAAGAGAAAACTTTCAAAACTTCCAAGTAGACGGGCTTCTTGAAATGCACTACCTGCAAATCAAAAGTAAAAATAAAAATAAAAAAAATACAAGAATCAATCAACATGATGTGTTAAAAGATCTCAATCAAGGGCGTTTTTTTTTTCTTTTCTTTTTTCGGTCAAGGAATGGGAAAAAACTGACATGGTCAACTATCTCTCGACGAGACATCCACGACCACTTTCTAAATTCGGGCTTTTCAGTCCCGTCTCCCAGAAGATTGACCTCTTCGTCATTTCCAGTAAATTTCAGAAGAAACCTAAAGAGTAACAAACACTTGCATCAGGCAGATTCACACTATATTATATAGAAAGGGAAGTGTCAATATGAGGCTTTACCAAAAATATTGATGTAAAAAGCAACAAATACATAACAGGGAAAAACAGCATTCAATCAGAGAACAATTTCATTGCAAAAATCTATTCAGTGGAAATTAAGTCTAGGAGAAACTTACGCTTATAAAAACTCAATGTTGAGTGATTCTTCGAAAAGAGGATGGTACCACAAAGTGCAATAAAAGAATGCAAAAATAATTGATTGGTGGTTAATAAATGTGCCAATATGCTAGTCCCCATGTTCAGAGCACTCATTCCATAGTTTAGTGACAGATATATGAAAGACCGCATTTCACCATCAAATCACCATAGATCTCCAAATGGCCCTATATAATTCAAGAAATCAGACAATTGAACCCCTCAAACCACGCACTTTCGTGATCATAGAAAGTCTACTAAGCACATACTCCTTTGAGTTTTCCATACGGTTATCGAGTTTCTCTAGTCTGGATTTAACAGAAACCATCAATATAACACTCACAAAAACAACAACATGAAACTCGAATATTGATATGATCTATATCAATAGCCTGATCCGTTTGATTGGTGCCTTAGTGCATCTTGCTATTTGAAGTCCAAAGGGAAAAACATAAGTCCTAAGAATCATATCTTAAAAAGCATTGCATATTAGTCAAAAAAAAAGGGTAAGGGGTGGGCTCGACCATTTCTGTGCTTGACCTTTCAAGTTCGAACCCCATCTCAGATTTAGTTTCGCCCTGATAACTGGTGGGAAATCATATGTCAACCAATATGGAACCTGCAAGATAAATTTGAGACGAATAGCATCACAAAACCACATTAAGGAACAATAACACAAAGAACTTGATATCTCTATATGCTCATCATGAAGTCTGAATGAGTTAAAAACAAATAAATCCATTTCAAGTTAAATCATAATTCAAAATAAATATTCAGCAAAGAGGGCCAAGAAATTAGAAATGCAGAGTCAAGTTTACATCTATACCTCATCAACGATAAAAGCAGAAGTAATTCCAGTTTCTTCTCTCAATTCCCTTATGGCGGCACTTCTAGGATTCTCACTCTCATCAATACCGCCCTATGCAATCACACCACACTTTCAAATCTACACATTGTTCATACTTCATAATAGTTTTAGATATAAGCACTAAAAATGAAACGGGGGCCCAACTTGCATGAGCATGGGGCAAGGAATAAGTGTCTAATGAAGTAAACTCAGGCACATCAAATTTTCCTAAATTGCTTCTCACGCTGTGAGATCATCCCGACTCAACCACATTCCCAATATATAAAGATATATTTATCTTCTTTCTCTGCCTTAATAGTTTTGGGAGGAGTTGACATAAAAGTAAGAACAAGGAATCTGAAAGGCTAGGGGAAAATCAAGACCAAGAAACTGAAAGAAATAGTGATCCACATCCCTTGAGCTATAACATTCGTGGTGGCCTCTAAATGATTACTGTAAGATAAAAAACTCAATATAACTCTTAGTTGAGTCGTTTTCCTTGAGCACAACAGAATAATAATCATCCTTTATTTTTTTCATACATCACTTAAGTGTTTCAAACAAAAGCACACACAACCCAGATGATATAAATGAACTAACCTGAGGCATTTGCCAAGAATCTGGAATGTAGAGTCTCGAAGCAGCAAAAATCTAACACAAAAACCAAAAGCACAAAGCACAAACAGGATATAATCAAAACAGAACAACACAAATGCAAAGAGAACGCAGTAAAGAGAGGAGGAAACCCACCCGTTTGGAGGGGCTAATGAGACAGATTCCTACGCTTCTCCTGTAGCCTTCTGGAGCGCTATCCATGGATGATGATGGCGATGGTGATGGTGATAGTGATGCTGGGAGTGACGAGATGAGGGATTTGGGGAGTCTTCGAGGGCAATTGGGGAAGAAAGGTGCAGCTGTGCTGATACCCTGCGATGGTGGGGAACTAAATCGGAAAGATCGGCATGAAGCCATCGCCTCGTCGGCGCCCATCGATGCGATGGTTGTTGCTCCCATTTCTGCTACTCATGGTGGAGATTACTGATTACATTGCCTTAACTGCACTTTCGGTAGAATTAGGATTTTTCAAACTTTTCCAAGAAAGATAAAAGCCCATATACCATATCAAAAGCCCATATCAATATGAGTTATCATATAGACTAGCCCATATACTATATCCAAACGAGGAATTTGCATCCTTTACTATCAGATATAATTTATATTATACTTACTAGTGAGAATCCCGTGCGATGTACGGGGTTTTCGTACTTCAGAACTTTTATTTTTTAAAATTTTATTTTCACAATATATTAGCATGCTGACCCGTTTATATTATTATAAATAATATTTTAACACATATATTTATTTTTTAATACAAAATAATAATAATTTTACATATTTTGGTTCATCATAATACTCAATTATTAATCTATCAAAAAATCTATTATCATATAATGTCATTATTATTTATAACACTTGTAGAAGTAATACATTTGTTATATAATGATAAATATGTAGTGTATATTAATATTATTTATTGATGTAATTAATTTAAAAATATATAAGCAAATTTAATGTTTGGTAGGAATGTGATTATACGTAAGCTGAGATAAAATGAAATGTATCAAAAAAATCTGCTTATGATATTTTCCTTTAAATGTTTGAATGAATTTGAAATTTAAATTACAAATCAACCTCCAGTTATTCCAATAATTTTAAAAAAGTTACCAATTATAGTAAAATGTACGTGACAATATATTATAAATATACATGACGTCAGTAATGTTATGGATCTTTAGGTTCCTAAAATATATATTGTTTAGATATGAAACTAATTAACTTATATGTTAAGATAATATATATAAATATATGCATTGTACGAAATATACACGTGACAAGTTATAATATTTGTTTGTATTGTTTATTATATTTGTATATAAATATATTGTTTATATATTTGTCTGTATTGTACGAAAAATTGTTATAATTGTTTAGATATGAAACTAATTAACCTATATGTTAAGATAACATATAAAAATATGTATTGTATGTAATCTTAAACGTGTTTGCTAAATTTTTCCCCTAAAAAATTCAAAATATATTTAGGCATGTTTTGTTTGAAGTTTGAAATTTAAATATGCATCTATATAACAAATCTCATAATTTATTCTAGCATTAAATGCTAATTGATTTTTTTATTAAGAAAATAAAAAAAAAAAAACATACCAAAAATAGAATGCAATTAATATTCCCTATTTTTTTGCTTACTATTTTTGAAAAATGTTAATTCTTATTATATATATATAGATACATCTATTATATATTTATTTATAAAATTACTAAACTAAGTAAAAAATATTACAATTAGACATAAGAGGTAACTGCTGCAATTAATCTATATATATATAATAAGAATTAACATTTTTAAAAAATAATAAGCAAAAAAATAGGGAATATTAATTGCATTCCATTTTTGGTATGTTTTTTAATTTTTTTAATAAAAAAACAAGTAGCATTTAATGCTAGCATAAATCATGTGATTTGTTATATAGATGCATATTTAAATTTCAAACTTCAAACAAAACATGCCTAAATGTATTTTGAATTTTTTAGGGGAAAAATTTAGCAAACACGTTTAAGATTACATACAATACATATTTTTATATGTTATCTTAACATATAGGTTAATTAGTTTCATATCTAAACAATATATAAACAAATATAACAATTTTTCGTACAATATAGACAAATATATAAACAATATATTTATATACAAATATAATAAACAATACAAACAAATATAATAACTTGTCACGTGTATATTTCGTACAATGCATATATTTATATATATTATCTTAACATATAAGTTAATTAGTTTCATATCTAAACAATATATATTTTAGGAACCTAAAGATCCCATAACATTACTGACGTCATGTATATTTATAATATATTGTCACGTACATTTACTATAATTGGTAACTTTTTTAAAATTATTTGAATAACTGGAGGTTGATTTGTAACTTAAATCTTAGATTCATTCAAACATTTAAAGGAAAATATCATAAGCAGATTTTTTTGATACATTTCATTTTATCTCAGCTTACATATAATTACATTCCTACTAAACATTAAATTTGCTTATATCTTTTTAAATTAATTACATCAATAAATAATATTAATATACATTACATATTTATCATTATATAACAAATGTATTACTTCTACAAGTGTTATAAATAATAATGACATTATATGATAATAGATTTTTTGATAGATTAATAATTGAGTATTATGATGAACCAAAATATGTAAAATTATTATTATTTTGTATTAAAAAATAAATATATATGTTAAAATATTATTTATAATAATATAAACGGGTCAGCATGCTAATATATTGTGAAAATAAAATTTAAAAAATGAAAGTTCTAAAGTACGGAAACCCCGCATCGCACGGCATTCTCACTAGTTAGGATTATGATATATCCTAAACAAAATCATCCCAAAAAAATCGCCCATTATCTCTCTTTCCTTCCATCAGATTACTTCTCAGTCAATACGTGTGCAATCAAATTCATACACAAGATATCTCTTTCGTTCCATCATATTACTTCCCAGGCACATGAATTGGATATTCCGACGTTTACATCAAACAGTCCAACCTTCAATCGACTGGTTTTGAAAGATTTGCCAAAATCGTGGATTTGCTTTACGGGTATGCATGTCCCATTGTAATATTCTCAGCCCCTACTCTTTCATCTCGTCCTTCTTTGACCATTATCAGAATCCTGCTACATGTATTCAAAAATGGGTTCTTCGATTGATGATATCTGTTTGTGCGGGACAACTGCCTGGAGCAGTGTCCGGCGAGGTCTGGGCTCTGCATAAAATTGCAGAAGCCGGTGGCGATTTGCCGACCGGCGTACGGTGGGAAGCCAAAGTCTTGAGTTTGTCAATATTATTATAGTTGAACTTTTTTTTAGTGATCGTTGGGGTAAGAAATTGGCGATTAAATTTTCATTGATCGTGGAAAAATCTCAATGTTTTGATTCTGATGTATTAGTTGATTAGTCTCACGTTTTCTAAAACTGGTTTATTTTTGTGGACCGTTTATGCTTTTGGATGTTGAATGGATGTTGTTGACTAGTACTAGGATCTTTTAGGGTTAAAAAAAAAAATTCATCCCCAATCAGTATATGTTGAGTATATAGACAGTATATTTTGAGTTTATAGACATTTTACGTCCGGATTATTTACATTTGCTCAAGTATATGTTGAGTATATAGACAATTATATTTTCAGTTTATAGACATTTTATGTTTTCAAAATATTCAAAATCTGAGTTAAAACAAAAATAAACTGATTTTTGTTGTTGTTGTTGTGTATANTGTGTAGTTTATAGACAGTCCATTGATCATATAATGAATGAAAATCATCATAGGCGACTCCATCCACAAAAATATAAAAAACATATACCTTTAATATACCCAAACAAAATGATACATAACAGAAGATGGATGGAGTATATGTTTGTATATTAAGTGCATAAAAATAGGGATGGAAGTGTGAAGGATATAGTAACTTACTTTAGGCATTAATATAGATAAAAAAGGTCTTTTAGGTAGAGATATAATTATTTTTAATTGTATGGTAAAGTTGCAATTAATTTAAAATCACATAGCATACATAAAAAATTCCCTATGAAAAATCTCATATCTATATCAGTCATCATATAAACCTAACTAGTTTGGGACCCGCACGATTCGCTCTATAACAGTTGTAAGGTGGAAGAATATTCGGTACTAAAAAGTTATAATAAATAGGTCGGTGATACACTTCTAGACGATTCAACATGTAAAAATCATACATTATTGAAAATCTTCTTTACATATCGGCTTTTGTTTAATTTATTGGTGATCGTGGTTAAACACTGTTTTTTAAAGAATAATTGCGCAACATGAAATAAAGATTGGTCGTGACTCTTATTCATGCTCATAGCATAAGAAACCACAAGGAAAAATTGTCGTCGCTAGAACTTGAAAGAAATTCTAACATCAGAAGAAGGAGTTATGGCCATTATAGAAACCAACACCTTATTACATCTTCGTCATGGAATATGATTTTCAAAAGATTCTTATATTCGACATTAAATTCAAGATCAGACACAGACTACCCTTAATTTCATATCAGGTTTGCTTGTGCAACTGCCTACAATTTAAGATATCAATTTTTTGACTCGAGTCCAAGTGTCAATGCTGAGCTCCGCCCCCATCACTTTACAAGGTGGCCCGGTTCACAAGACGAGTCAGGACAAAAAGGTTCAACCGACAATCTTATTGAGTCGATATTTTTTACGCATCAATATCAACGACCTTTTTAAGTTGTTTCAAGATTCATTTGTATTACACAATCAATATTTAATGACTGCTTCAAGTTTCATTTGTAATACACAGTCAATATTTAATGATAAGATTGAAAAGTTATTCAAACCATGGATGGCAGTCATGACATCAAGCGTCATTTGTACAATCAATATTTAATGATAAGATTTTATTGTTTCCAATTTCGAAGAGGAACTTTTAGTGAATAAACCTTAAAACTTTATTTGAAAATTCAATCTCCTTGAGGTATCTCTATACATAAGGCTTCTATTTTTATTATAGTATAATATAAAGATATGGAGTTTTAATTGAACTTAACCGGTTTTGTAGAGATTTTCTTCACTATTGCATATTGAAATGAACAAGCATTTCATAGTGAAGAATGAAAATAAGCACCCAATACTTGATATGAAGTGATACTCAAAGTACCATGTTAGACAAAATACAATGACCTCGCAACCTGAAGAAAAATCAATGGGTCTCCTCCGAGACACACGGCATAAATTCAATAACCTAGTCAAGATGTGAGGAGAAAACTTTCAAAACTTCTAAGTAGACAGGCTTCTTGAAATCCACTGCCTGCAAAGCAAAAAAAGAAAAAGGAAAAAAGAAAAAAAAAAAAAAAGGAATCAATCAGCAGGATGTGTTGAAGACAATCAACAGTGTTTTTTTGGGAATTGGGAGAAAACTGACATGGTCAACTATTTCTTGAGGCGACATCCACGACCACTGTCCAAACTCGGGCTTTTCTGTCCCGTCACCCAGAAGGTTGATCTCTTCGTCCTTTCCAGTAAATTTCAGGAGAAACCTTAAGTTACAGAAACTTTCACATCAGACAGATTCAAACTATTTAATCTTGAGAAAAAGAAAGTGTCAATACGAGGCTTGAGAAAAGATTGATGTAAAATGCAACAAAAACTTAACAGGGAAAAACTGGATTCAATCAAGAAATTCCTTCTCGATCTTTAAAAAATTTATTGCCAACTGATTCAGATGAAATTAGGTCTAGGATAAAACATATGCTTATATGTGCTAAATGATGAGTGATTCTTAGAACAGAATATTGTACCACAGAGTGCAATGAAAAAATGCAAAAGTGAAATGATGGATGGTTCATAAATGTGCCATTATGCTAGTCCCCTTAAGAGAACTCATTGCATAGTTTAGTAAGAGAGATACAACAGACCACATATCACCATCAGATCACCATAAATCTCTAAATGGCCTTATAACTCAAGAAACCCGACAACTGAACCCCACAATTACATACGTTTGTGATCACAGAAAGTCTCCATAGCACACTCATTCGAGTTTTCCACAGGGCTATTTAGTTTCCCTAGTCTGGATTTAATAGAAATTATCAATTTAGAATATATAATATGAACCATGTCAATAGCCTGGCAGTTGATTGGTGCCTTAGTGTACCTAGCTACGTGAAATCCAAAAGAAAAACGAAAGTCATAAGAAACATATATTAAAAAGCACTTCAGATTAGTCAAAAAAGAGGAAGGACTGGGCTCAACCATTTCTGTGCTTGACCTTTCCAGTCGGAACCCCATTGCTGCTTTAGTTTTTCCCTGACAACTGGTGGGAAATCATATGTCAACCAATACGGAACCTGCAGATTAAATATTGAGACAGATAAGGAAAACTGACCAAGAACATGATATCTCTATATACTCATGATGAAGTCTGAATGAAGCAAAAACAAATAAATCCATTTCAAGTCAAAATATAAATCAATATATTCATCAAAGCGAACCAAGAAATTCGAAATGCAAAGAGTCATGTTTACATGTATACCTCATCAAATGCAAAGAGTCATGTTTACATGTATACCTCATCAACAATTTCGGCAGACGTAATTCCAGTTTCTTCTCTTAATTCCCTTATGGCAGCACTTCTAGGATTCTCACTCTCATCGATACCGCCCTATGCAATCACACCACACTTTCAAATCCACATATTATTTGCAATAGTTTGAGGATATCAGCATTAGACATAAAACAAAATGGACCCAACTTGCATGAGGTCGGGGCCAGGAGGAAGTGTCCAATGAAGTAAATCATTGAATTCCTAAGTTGTTTCCCACGCTTTAAATTCAGCCCAGACTCAATCGAATCACAGATTCCAAATATATAAATATAACATTTACTTTCCTTGCTTTAATAGTTTTGAGTGGAGTTGGCAGGAGGATAAAAACAAACAAATTGAAAGGCTAGGAGATAATCAAGACCAAAAAAGCCAAAAGACTTGGTGATTGACATCCCTTGAGCTATAACACTCATGGTGGCCTCCAAACGATCACTGTAAGATTAAAAATTCATAATGATTCGGAGCCCTTTACTTGTGCACCGCAGAATAATAATCATTCTTCTTTTTCATACATCAAATTCAGTGTTTCCAACAAAACCATATCCATCCTAGATGAATAAATGAACTAACCTGAGGCATTTGCCAGGCATCTGGTATATCGAGTCTCGAAGCAGCAAAAATCTAACACAAAAGCAAAGCACAGAATAATCAAAACCAAAAAACACAAAAATGCAAAGAAGATCGTATTGATTGAGTACAGAGAGAAGGGAACCCACCCGTTTGGAGGGGCTAATGAGACAAATTCCTACGTTTCTTCTGTAGCCTTCTAGAGGGGTTTCCATGGATAACGATGATGATATGTACGATGGTGATGTTGGGAGTGACGAGGCGAGGAATTTGGGGAGTCTCCTAGGGCAATTGGGGAAGAAAAGTGCAGCTGTGTTGATACGCTGCAATGGTGGGGAGCTAAAACGGATAGATCGGAATGAAGCCATCTCCTCGGCGGTGGTGGTTGCTCAAATTTTGGCTGCCCATTGTGAGGAATAGATTACCGTAACTGCCCCTTCCTCTTTAGTTTATTCACGATCTAGGAATTTTGTTTATCATACACAATGGTGGGCATTGAGGGTCCGGGGTGCTGCTGTGAGCCACTACCAACAGTTACAGTATAACCCTTGGATTAAGATACGGGTCCGGGGGTGCTGCTGTGAGCCACTTACAGTAGCACCAGCAGTTACACTATAACCCTTGGATTAAAATACATCCAAGGGTTAGAAATCATCTATGATATAAATAAAATAAAAAAAAGTCTCTACCTTTTCTCTTCTCAAATCTAGCCTGCGCCCCATCTTCATCTCGTTCTTTCTCTACCTTTTCTCTTTTCAGATCTAGCCTGCGCCTCTCAAAGGTTTAATTTTCATTTGTATTGATTATTGTAGGTTTTTATTTTTTATTTCATCTTTTTTTTTTGNAACACCTCTTCACTGCCAACAACCTCTGTAAACGGGCTTCAGATTCAATTTGCACTCCCGAGTCCGACGAGACGGAAGAAAAAAACGATGAGTTCCTGGGATTTTTCCCCACCGGCAATGATATGAAGGTGATTTCAAGGATAGTGCGTAGGAGATAATTTTTTTTCTTTTTTTTTTTCTCCGATGAGTTCATATAGTGGTTTTTCTCCGACTTTCTTCCCCGAGTTCCTGGTTCATGAGCGGCGGTGATTTCGGTCGGGGAAGGATAGTGCGTAGGAGATAGTGGTTTTTTTTTATTAATCTAAGATGATTTCTAACCCTTGGATGTATTTTAATCCAAGGGTTATAGTGTAACTGCTGGTGCTGCTGTAAGTGGCTCACAGCAGCACCCCGGACCCAGATACGAGTCTCAACGTACTGTTGTGTAATAAGTCGACCTGAGAGGCTGAGACTTGAGCACAGTTGCTCTGCCGGCTTACATGGCGGCTCTGAGCCTGCTCTGTCACCATTATCATCATCTCCACCCATACGTCATCCCTGCTCCGTACTGTTGCCCTTCTCTCAGACCCTACTTGTTCATATTCGCGAAACCACCCCAAAGCCCTACCAAAACCCCCATCTCCGTCTCCGTTCCGATTTTCACGATTTATCAGCCCAAAAAATACAGTAATTGTAGCTACACTGCCTCGACCTTCCCGAGCTTCTATTCTGAGGCTCAGCAACAAACAGACGACGGCAATCGCTTAGAAGAAGTGAGAGAAGCCATCAGAGAGTATCTGGAACAGCTTGGAGTTTGTGTCATCGTACGCCAAGCTTCAATGGATTATTGTGTTAAGTCGCTCCTGGACTCTATTATTAAGTGCATCCTTTGGACCTTTCCTTCCAAAGGCTAAACTTCCATTAACCAGTTGAAAAAATCCGTTTGAATCCGACTTGCATGTGCATTCCCTTACTTGATACTTTATATTTCTCCCATAATATTTGTTCTCATAGATTAAGATGTATATTTCAGAGAAATACAGCAGGCACTGGTAGAAATTGGTGACAAGGAACCTTCATTTGTCAGGTCACGTGAATGGATTGGGGCCATTGAGTTGAGTTTTGTTTTGGACAAGCTACTTGGAGTAAGTATTCATTTTCTTTTGTAGAATGTGTATGCTTTTGGTTGATAATTGAAGAACAAGATGCAAATAAGTGCGGCATAGTGCCTCTCTCTCTCTCTCTCTGTATGTGTGTGTGTGTGTCTGACTGGTTAACTGCAATCTTGACAGGTTAGTTGCAAAGTCAGGTGACGAACTTCCAGAGAAATGTCGGGAGCTCGCTCTTCATTTCGAGACTCAGGGAACACCTATCATGATTGGTTGGCCATTTCATCATATTTTGTTACATATCAAAAAAAAAAAAAAAAAAAAAAAAAAAAAAAAAAAAAAAAAAAAAAAGGTGAATGGTGAGTTGCAAATGTGATTTGTTTGTGGTTTTAACAGGTGGTGGTGTTCTTGCCTATACCCTTTTGGGAGTTGACTACAATGACGAGAGTGGAGACTGCGCATTTCTGATATTGGACCCCCATTACACGGGCAACGAAGACCTCAAGAAGATTGTCAATGGTGGGTGGTGCGCTTGGAAAAAGGCGGTCGATGCCAAAGGAAAACATTTCTTCTTGCACAATAAGTTCTACAATCTCCTCCTCCCTCAGAGGCCCAATATGGTTTAATCAAATTTGAATTTGAAGAAGAAGAAAAAACCATAGTAACTTCAAAGTGGAGTTGGGGCCTATGTATGGGAAGACCCACATGCTGTATTCTTCAGTTAATTTTTTTCTTAGACTTGTGGTTGAAGGTTGAAAGGTTGAGGGTTGAGAACTGAGAAATCCTGAATTTTTAGAAAGGATAATATATGTCATCAAAGTCAATTTTGCAGGTAGTAGCACTTTAAATTAATTGGTTTACATTTTTTTTATGACTTTTTTTTACAAATAACAGGTAGCATCAATTTCATACTGCCTACACTTCAGAACAGTTTTATTATTATTTTTTTTCTTTTTAAATGAATAATTAGTTAGTTTGATATAAAGGAAAGAAAATTCAATTGCACCAAAATAATTGCATTTCCCTAAATATGTATCAATATTTGGAAAACAGAACCTTTGCTTATTAACATTTTTTTGTACCAATCCCATGTCAATATCATTGTACACCCTCTTTACAAATTTCATTACTCGCATGTTGATGTATTTTTTGTTTATAATTATTTTTTAGTTGTTTTTTCATGTCTTAGCTTCACATTATTTTTAGCTATTTATATGCTTTTTTTACTCTAAAAAAAATGATCACTTGTCCCCATTCTCCTTTTTTACATCTAATATATATATATAAAGACATTAACATTTACTAAAAATAGTTAGCAACAATTTTAGGAAAATATTTAATTCATGCTAATTTTTAAAATTTTTAAAATCAATAGAGTGTATGTTCTCAAAGATCGGACAATTGAAATTGGGTTCTCACAAATCCCCGAAATTGGATACCATACATGTGTTGGAGTTAAAAAAATCTGATTCAATTTTTAATTGCACATTTATGAATACAGGATGATTAATTGCATAGAACTAAATTGAATCCATGCAAGCCTGAAGAATTGGACCAATAATATTAGGCAACTCTTTATTCCATACAAAGGTAATCAATCAACATTGCATCCTAAAATTTTGGGATTCTCCCGATTTTGAATACCATTTTTTCAAACCTTCAATTAAAATTCGAATCAGTATGCAATTCAGAAAATTCGAATGGCTTATACTTTAAAAACTCTCAATTTTTAAATTCCGTTTCATATTTGATATTAAAAAAATTGGTTGATTCTTTGGATTTGTAAATAGATAGATTTTTTTAATTTTAAATATTTTTAAATATGTTTTCTTTCCGAAATAGTTTAGAAAAGTTATAGGTGACTTCACACCTTTCAAAGATAATATAGAAAATTTTGGATATTTTTACATATCTCTCTTATCTATATATGAAGAAGTGTGCACACTTTAAATGATGACAAGTGTCCCATTTTGCCATGGTTAGAAAGTGACAAGTGTCCACTTTTTATTACAAGTTTGCCATGCAGTTAACAAAAAACGACACCGTTTTTGTATGTTTAATTTTTTTTTTACATTTTATGCGAATTGACTGATTTTTCTACTTTTTGGGGTTAGACATGTCATTTAAATTCGCCAGTAGTATGGGGTGCCTGCCACACGCTACACACCACACGTTCTTTCCTTCTGGGCTGTCTAAATGATCAGGAAATTTGGGGCGCCATTCGATCGGTGATTTGATCTCCATGAATTCAGCTGCTGCCACCGAAAATGTTTATATCCGTTCAATCGGTCCTCTCTCCCCAGAGAGGCGGGTAGTACGCGGGTGCAAGGATCACGGTAAAAAACACAATCGATTCTTTTAAGAAGAAAAATTTCTGTAGGAAATTTTTTCCCTCACTTTCTAATTCTTGTTGAAGGTGATAGATTCTGTCCATTTTTAACAACCATATTAGGATTATCTAGGTCAGGACCATATGGTAATGGCTGATTTGCCACTCTTTGAAAATCCCCCCAATTATATTCTTTAAAGTGTGAATATGCTACACAGAGGGCAATGAATAATCTCGACTTAGCATAACAAAATGCGATAAATTGAGTAAGGAAATGTGTGATTAACTATTGGTTCTTATATTCATTTTCACACCATGTTTTTATACATGACTATTGGTGATTAATTTTTTTGCACTTTTGATGAAATCACATTTTTCTTTCCCACTTCCTTATTCCTGGGATCCCACTTTCTTATTCTTTTAAGTGAATGAAGTTCATAATACGACATTTAGATGCTAAGGAAATTTGATTTTGGGTTTGTGAGGAGAACTGCTTATGTTGTTGGTGGATGGCTGCTTAGCGTTTTTACATCTTTATTATTCATTACTGACATTTTTATTATTCATTCATAGTATGAGACTCAGATGCTAAGGAAATTTGCTTTCTGGTTTGTGAGGAGAACTGCTTATGTTGGTAAATTTGATAGATTTTGTTTTTTCATCTTGATCTAAAGAGATAGTATGCAATATCTTACTTATCTTTTTACCAGGAACGAGAAGTAACAAAGGTTGTCTTAAAAGCAATGGGTCAGGTGAGCAAGATTGTGGTTATTGCCGAAATCATAAAGGTAGTTTCTCCATCCCACCACCCATATTTCTCATTTATCCCTTTCTGTACAATGAAAGATATTCTAAGGGTTTCAATTTAAAACAGATAATTATCCTTCGGCTTCATCAGGACTCGACCATCAGTTCCTTGAGCACAATAAATACTTTTGAACCCATTGAGGAAGGCCTTTAGATGTAAGTTTAATATCTCTTCTTATTTGTCCTTTAATTATGTTTTTTTGGCATTTTTATTGGGGGTGTGCCTGTGAAACTCTGTGTGCGGTTTTTAGGGGTTGAGAGCGAGGGTTTTGTTTGAGTTGGGGCGTTTTAATTGGTACTCTGTACAAAAATATTGTAGTTGTATCATATGATAGATCATGAAATATTTGTGTTGTCTGAGGGTAATGTGGATAAATTATGAAGCTTTCAACATCAGGGATGGGTCAGCAAGCTCATGAAGGTAACTGTCGTGTCTCATTTTTTTTTTCTACACACGACTCTTTCTCCTTTTGTGGCTTCAACTTTGTTATCTCTTTCTTTATTATGGATATTTTTTCACCTTTATTTTGATGAATTATCTCTCAGCACGTCATTTTCATTTAAATCTTTGTTGTTGGAGAATGTTTTTGTCCTTTTTATTGGAAAATTTATTATCAGCGGTAGGGCCGATCTTCAAAAGAAATATACAGAATGATGGTAAAATTGATTTTGTGGCTTCAACTTTGTTATCTCTTTCTTTAATATACAGTTTTGATTAACAAAATGATGGTAAAATTGCAACTACCTTGTGGCAGCTGTGTAGGCAGACTTCAATCTTTGTATAACCATTTTGGGCATTAGATAGATAGACTAGATTTGTCCAATTACCATTACATAAATTTGAATCTAAACTTGCGATTAGATTTGTCAATCAATTATTTTCATCAAAGCTTGAAAGATTTTTATAAATAGAGGTATATGAATTTGGATATAACTTAAAAAAATTGATTTTAACAGACTCTTCGTCCAAATTGTGTAGGTATTGAAAAGGTTGGATCGAAATCCGAGCACCTTAATGGAGCTTTTGATTCAGCCCGGGGCTGTTTGAGAGTAGTCCCGGAGGCACAAATGACGACCAACACCTTTGAGAAGGCTTGGCGTGCTGCAGCCATCCACACGAGGATTTTAAACTAAATTTGAGAATTTTCAGTGTATTTTTAGACCGAATTTAAGTCGGCCGTGCGTGCACGGCGTATCCCAACTAGTATTAATATAATAAATTAGGTGTTTCTAATATTTTAAACATACAATTTTATATTCTCTTATACAAGATAATTTTACATTGTTTGAACCCACATCATTAATTTATAATTATTATTTAATATTATTTAAGGAGGATCAATAGTAATTCTCACTTCCTCCATTTAGTTACTATTTAATATTGTTTCCCATTCTTAGAATAGTATTTTTTTTTTTTTTTTTTTTGACAGTAATAAGGTTGAAATTTCATAAGCGCAGATTCTAAGGGTCCGGGGGTGCTGCTGTGAGCCACTTACAGCAGCACCAGCAGTTACACTATAACCCTTGGATTAAAATACATCAAAGGGTTAGAAATCATCTTAGACTAATAAAAAAAAACCACTATCTCCTACGCACGTCAAGGTCTTGGACGCCGTCGATCAGCATCTTCAAATAGTTGTGGCAGCCAAAGCTAATGCGAGACGCGTCCTCCCTCGAAACTCCAAGCTGTTCCAGATACTCTCTGATGGCTTCTCTCAATTCTTCTAAGCGATTGCCGTCGTCTGTTTGTTGCTGAGCCTCAGAGTCGAAGCTCGGGAAGGTCGAGGCAGTGTAGCTACAATTACTGTATATTTTGGGCTGATAAATCGTGAAAATCGGAACGGAGACGGAGATGGGGGTTTTGGTAGGGCTTTGGGGTGGTTTCGCGAATATGAACAGTAATACGAGTCTCAACGTACTGTTGTGTAATAAGTCGACCTGAGACTTGAGCACAGTTGCTCTGCCGGCTTACATGGCGGCTCCGAGCCTGCTCTGTCACCATTATCATCATCTCCACCCATACGTCATCCCTGCTTCGTACTGTTGCCCTTCTCTCAGACCCCAACTGTTCATATTCGCGAAACCACCCCAAAGCCCTACCAAAACCCCCATCTCCGTCACCGTTCTGATTTTCACGATTTATCAGCCCAAAAAATACAGTAATTGTAGCTACACTGCCTTGACCTTCCCGCGCTTCGATTCTGAGGATCAGAAACAAACAGACGACGACAATCGCTTAGAAGAAGTGAGAGAAGCCATCAGAGAGTATCTGGAACAGTTTGGAGTTTCGAGGGAGGACGCGTCTCGCATTAGCTTTGGCTGCCCCAACGATTTGAAGATGCTGATCGACGGCGTCCAAGACCTTGACGACTGGAACTCGTGGTCTGCCGCCGCAGGGCCCGGTGATCAAGGGCCTGTACAGTTTAAAAACAGAGTGTATCAGATAGCCAAGCAGAAAGGGGACAAAGGTATTCTCCCTTTCCTGGAGAGCGAAGGACTTCCTCTCTCCTCCGCCACTCGCTTGGCACGTTATCTCTCTTCTTCCGGCTCCAATGTGCTACCTCTCCTTGTTCACAAGGTGTTTAACAATCTGACTGGCTCATTTTCGGCATTTTTTTGTTCACTTTTTGTTCTTTTCTCCTTAAAGTGGCTATTTTCATGTACATGTGGTTGCAAATTTCTGAATTTTCTGATTTTCTTTTTCCCTTCGCAAGTTAAGTATGTGAAGGAAATTTTGTTTTCTGGTAGTCTTGATTCTGAATTTATTGGGAAAAATGCTCGGCGTATGATGACACACCTCTCCATTTCTGTCGATGAGGACGTGCAGCAGACTTTGGCATTCTTTGAAAAGGTCAGAATGCTTGCTGAAAATTTGATATTTCTGATTCATACCTTGTCAGATGATGTCCTGCATGCTTTTGTTTTGCATGAACCCCCCTTTTTCTTTTTCGCGTAATAGGTTGAAGCAAGGCGTGGAGGTCTGAATCTCTTGGGTTCTGATAACACCTCTTTCCGGTACCTCATTGAATCTTTTCCACGTCTTCTTTCTCTTCCAATAGAATCGCGTCTAAAGGTAACTGTGAAGGTCTTGGAAGATATTGGGGTTCCTAATGAACGAGTCAGAAATGTTCTTCTTTTATTCCCACCCATCTTGTTGTATGACATTCACAAGAGAATAAAGCCAAGATTGCAATCATTCGAAAAGGTACATGTTGATAAACGGATTTGATCAACGTTAACAATGTAATATTAACAGAAAAGATTGCTGAAAATGAGATTTTTAGTGAATATTTTGAAGTCGGTCTTAGTACAAAGAGGTCGGTTTTTCAATGTATTTTAAGTCGGTTTACAAAGGGGACTACCGAGTTGAATATATGAGTGTGTATGATCGTTTTTCGAACCCCTCTATCGTTTTCGGAACTGCTATTTATAGGTATGTTTGGCACACATCCCTAGACAAATCATTCCTGTTTTAATGAAGATTTGACATCTTAGGGGCGGCGATGACGTAGAAGAATCTTGTAGGCAATGATTAGCATGGGCGCGCCTCTGTTTGTGTGACGAGTGTCACATCTGTCGGTTTGAAGTCGGTTTGTCTTGTGATGTCGGTATCTTGATTGATTTCCGACGTTCTACGACTTCTTAATAAGTAATTCTTTGACCGAATTGGCCTTCTTCGAGGTTCAGACCGAATTGACCTTCTTCGAGGTTCAGACGACTTGTGTCGATGACCTCGAAATATCCGCGATCATTAATGGGTACCGAGGTGAGGTTACCGAGGTGCAGAACGTACTGATTGACGTCGTCCCGAATTTAGTTCATGCATTAATCTTCACGATTTCTTTAATTGTATTGTAACATCGAGGTATTCTACCTTGGTATCAACATAGAGGCCCCTGGCATTAAGAAGTATGCAAATTATGCATACTTTTTGATGACACTTTCCCTCCAATCGCTCTTTATTCCCGAGCTGATTTAAAGATCTCTTCCGCGAATTTGTGCCGAGTTACTTTCCTTAGATAAAGATTGCATAGTTTGGTTCCTTTTCCAAAGTCGTTGTGTACTGTGAGGAGTTTATTGTGCGGTTTACGAAAGGTCGCAAACGTGGTATCTCCACTACTCTTCATAATAAGCACGTACCGAAATTTCCGGAAATTAACGTTGGCGGTTTTTGGGACACGCGTACGTACGAGATTGTATCTGAACGTCATGTCACCATAAGGGGGCATTTCTCTGAATCGACGCGTCATTTAACCACGCGCCTCTCCATCTTCAACGGTTAGAAAACTGCGAGAGTATATATATACAGATAAATTCATGGTTTTTATTCACTAAGCCTTCGTTCAAGTAACTGCGCTCTCAATCTATCTTTAGCATACTTCGTCTTTTTTCTTTTCATCTTCTTCATCGTATTTCAGCAAGTCCCGAAACCTTCAAGAGTTTACACCATTTTTTCGGTAAGCCCTAATTTCTTCTTCTCACTTCGTAATTCCTTTATATCTTTTTCTGAGCTCTGATTATGGCGGCGAGTGGTGAGAACGTCGGTACGGGCAGCAGCAGTAGGACTGTATCTGACCTGAGGTTGGATGAGGAATTAATGGAGTTGATGGGGGATTATTATCGGTGGGACCCTGTTTTTGTGGATCGTTTGGAGATTCGCAAACGTGACATTGAAGGAGATGCCGAGGTGGAACGGGATGTTCCTGTAAGATCGGGTTATTGGAACCGTCCAGCCCGTCGATGGCCCGATGAAGATGTGCCATTTTTGGGAGAACCCAGTACCATGACCGATGCCGACGTGGTTCTCCTCCGTGAGTGGGTTCGAATCCCTACCTCGGTAAGGATTTTCGCCCCTTATCCGGGGGAAAGGATTCATTGTCCTCCTCCGGGTTGTATAGGGATTTTTGCTGAAAGTCTGAGGTCAGGCTTGAGATTCCCACTAGACAACGTCATAACCGACTATCTGCGCGACTGGGGTCTCAGTCTTAGCCAGATCACTCCCAATAGCTGGAAGAAGATTATTGGGATTATGGTTCTGTTAGCACAAAAGAAAATCCCCTTCCCCACCATCGACGAGATGAGAAGTATTCTGTTCTTTAAGAGGAGTAGGGAGCGGGATGGAGTTCCTCCCACGGGTTGCTTTTTCTGTGCGGCGAGGCCTCAATACGAATTGAAGATAGGACAATTGGTCACTGGGATACCTGAAACCCTCCATGGTTTTCAGGACGAATGGCTATGGGTTGGAGGAGATTGGCAGTCTCCCGATTTCCGACTTGAGGCCCCGATTGATGGGATGACTGTCCCAACCCGGGTTGTCTCTTCTTTCCGTAAGTTCTTTTCTTTCATTCAGAATTTCCTGACAGGTTGTTTTTCTTTCGCTAACAGGTCGGACCTTTTCGTATTTGTAGCAAAAAGAAAAAAGGAGCCGAAATTGAGCGGGGAGTTTAGAGATAAACTTGAGGAGATCGCTAAGCTCAGTGTAACGGACCGCAAGTGGAATTTGCTGACCAGGAACGCTAAGCTTGCTGAGGTGAAACTTGGACCAAAAAAGGCCATCCCCGAGTTCGAACCTGGTGAGTTCTCATAATATCAATCCAGTTCATGGCCATAAACTAGATGAATTCATTGAATATCGATATAATTTTGGTTATTTGCTTTCTTCCGTCAGTTTACTATCCGCTATTAGGATTTTTCGGATTTCAATCAGTTCGAGAAGCAAAAGATTATCGCCGTAGGTTTTCAGTGAAAGATACCGAGATGGGTCGCATGAATTTTTTGGCTAACTTGAAGAAGAAGACTGTTATGGGTCGTGCTGCGACGGGTGATGAGATTGGAGTTACGTCGGGTACACCAACTGCGGCCGCGGTACCGGCCCCTGTCAATGAGCCTGCTGTCGAGCCCCTTCCTGAGATGAACACCGAGTTAGCAGTTGTTGCTCATTCTCCACCTCGGGAGGTTGAGAAAGAAACTGAAGCTGCTCGTCCTGAGCTCCATGTTATCGTCTCGAGCTCAGAGGATGCCGAGGCTATTCAGAAAACAGTGGGAGAAGCTTCTTCCCAACAGAAAAAGAAGAAAAAGAAGAAGAACAAGAGGAAGGCAAGCGAGGAGTTGGACGTTGACCAGGAACGTCGGTCGAAGTCTAGACAGGATGTCGGCCAGCTCGAGTTGGAAAGGAATGCTCCAGTCCATCAGGATGGAGGAGACACATATCTGCCAATCGATGAGGAGCGGATCTTGGAGCAGAATCTGCCAGAGGACGTGATGGAGAAGTGGTTTACTCAGTACCATTCCATAATTATCCCCAAATTCAACAACAAATTTCACCAGCCTCCCCATGTGTTAGAAGCAGCTCGGGTTCCAATGATGTCTTGGGATCCGGCGACTGAGGCCCGAGTATCTGGATTGTCGAGCTCATACAGGTTCAGTTATGCCAAAGCGACATTGGGGAGAGCTTTGGTGGGCCTCTGCGCGATGGAAGATGAGTTCAGGATGAATGCCGCTGCACTCAATGAGCGGAAAGACAAACTGGAACTTCGTGACGGTCAGCTGGCATCATTAGAGGCGGATAAGGCCGGCCTGACGGCCGAGATCGAAGATAAGAATGCCCAACTTGTTGCGGCAAAAACCGAGATGGAAAGTTTGGCCACCGAGAAGAAACGTTTGGAGGACGAGGTGCGCAAGCTTACTGCTCAGATCGGCGCATCCGAGATGGAAGCTCGGAATAACTTGAACCGCTACCAGAAGGAGATGGAGGACCATCAGCGAACTCGGGAGGAGCATCAGAAGACCCGTCAGGACCGAGCTGAAAAGGAGGCGAGACTGATCCGCTTGGCTGAAGCGCACGCTGCCGAGTTGAAAAGCTTAGAGCAACAGAAGGAAGCTTTCGGTGAGCTGAAGTTCGCGCAAGGGTTAGAGGAAGGCAAGGAACTCGGGAAACAAGAGTTCAGGGGCTCGGAGGAGATGGAAAAGGATATTGAGCTTAACTCTTGCCTAAATCTCCGTTGGGTGATCGATAGGTTTGACGCTGGTCTGTATGGCGTCGGAGACCTGAAGGCCATCATGCTTATGAAGATGGATAGGTTCGGGTTCGACCCCGAGATTGAAGAACTCCACGTCCCTGCCGATGATGACGAACGTGCTTATTGCGAGTTGGTTTTGGCCAACACTGACGCCGACGTGACAGCTCGTGGATATCCTCCTCTGGACCCCAACAGACGAGCGGCTCTGCGAAAGGCTTATGTGAACATGGTTTTGGAGGGAGAGAAAGAGAAGAGGGCCGAGTTTGCTGATGTGTTTATTTCTACCCTTGCTGACTTCACTGTCGAGAAGTGTCTCGAAGTGTTAACCCCGGCCCAGATTAAGAAAGAGGTTGTAGATTATGCTGAGAAGTTCATCGCCTCTGCTGCTGAAAAAGGTCTCGAGGGGACCGAGTTGGTTCAGGGGATCGAGGCGGTTCAAGGAATCGGCGATCATCAAGCCGCTAAAGTTAGGATTATTCCCGATCCTCAAGCCATGGATGCTGCAATTTACTCCCGGCTAAGTGAGGTAGTCAAAGACGGTTCCCTAATCCCGGAAGACGATGAGGAGGCCCCGAAGGATATGGACGTTACGGAAACTGAGGCCGGCAAAGAAATGGAAGATCTTCAGGCCGTGGTTGAGCAGGCCCCAGTTGATGTCGAGGTCGAGACCGAGAAGGATGGTGAAGCTGAGAAGGACGACGAAGTCGAGAAGTAAATGAAGGTGCCGGGGATCAAATGTCGTTTGATTGTTTCTGTTTTTAGTATTTTTCTTCTTTAGATGTGGACCATCATGTTGGCACATCTTTTTGCATTTTCCTTCTAGTTTGTATTGGACATCCTTTCCCCGAAATGAAATGAATATTTGTCTTTCCTACGATCTTCTTGTTTCCTCGTGCATTGTTGTGTTTATTGGTAACTTCGAAGTATGTAGGTGTACATATGTTTCGAAATTACTTAAATAATTTTCCGACTTAAAATACTTTCAGTTTGAAAAAACTGACTTTGAATATTTTAAGCAAAAGGTTGTCCCATAAGATGGGTTTAAGCACTTATCAATTTAAAAAATCATCTTTGAAAGAATATAAGTTTGAAAAAGCTAACGCTTAAA